GTAGTGGACGCGCAGATTGCCCTGGGAGAGGCCGATGTAGTTATACTTGTCCTTGGGGCTCCAGGCGCGCGGCAGCGGCGTCTCCGCCAGGTTGACAGCCGGGTAGAGGCGGCGAAGGCGCTGGTTGAGCTCCTGCTCCTCCAGGGAGCACGGCGGGGTGGGTGGGGGTAGCGCCGAGTCTGCCCCAACTAAGCTCACCGCACACCCGTCCGCCATCTTTGATCCACTATTGTGTCAGGCTGAGGGGAGCGGGCCCCGTCTTCCTGGCTGTCCAATGGGAGGCGGGCTCAGCGACAATGGAGCCGGAAGGGCACGACGGGAAAACGAGTCCATTTACCCGCTTAGGACAGAGGCCGTTGAGGGAAAGCAGGACTTCAGGTCCCGAGAAGCTCTGCGCAGGAGGGCCCGCCCACTCGCTGCTCCGCAAAGCACGTCGGAACTATGAGTAGACGGAGGCTGCTCCTCTTCACAGCTGTGTACTGTATATAGTAAAGCACTTTTACGCAATCATGGGACGTTTGTGTGCGTTGGCAAAAGGCTCCAGGGAAATAAATGTTATCTGCTTCTAAGCCAGGAGGTTAAAAAAGGTGATAAGCGAAAACTGGAGGGCTGCGGATCTGTAGTTGCGGGCTACAACATACCTGACTGAGGAATTCCGGGAGCTGTAGTTCAATAACCAGAAATCTGTCCACTTCTAACAAAATACCTGAATTTCTGCCTGGACAGCAATTAATTCCCGTGCCACAAATACAGGATATTAAAAAAAAACCTTTCCTTCCCCACCCCCGTCACCGCCTCTCTTTCGTCAGGGGCATAATCACGTATCGGATCCCCCGCGCGCTCCAAAGGTGCATTCACAGAAGAAGAATCCTGTGCAAAATAGAATATACTGTACCCACAACCGACCCTAGTTTAAATGACATTGTGCGCATAATCCTGCAGGATCACCTGCACAGTTTGCGCCAACTCCAATCTTTCCCTTAAGCAGTTCGGCAGGATGGAGGCTTTGCACCAGTTCGCTGCAGCCGTTCATCCTGCTTACGAACACCCTGTTGCACCTCCCAGCTTCTTCTAATACTTCAATTGTCTGCGGCCGGGAAAGCCACAAACAATCGCGCCGCAAACCCGTGTTGCCTCGCGCGGTTGTTACTCCACGCGCCTCTAGAGGGCGCAGCGTCTTTGACGTCGAGAAGGTAGGCGGTGCTCGTTGCCAAGGCGACCAGGTATCAACATCCCGGGCAGACGCCTCTTCTGTTCACCCTCGGGCCATGGAGCATCACGCTTCCACCTTCTCTGGGTGAGTCTGTGAGAAAGGAAATTTCAGGAAAATACACAGATAAACAGTCACAAATTCCCTCCTGGGAGTAAGTGAGCTTCACTTTCTTGGCAGAGTGTCGAATTTTGTTAGCTTAAAAAAACAACAACCCTGTAGCTGTACAGTACAGCAGAAAGTGGAGAAGAATTAGCTTGAAGTCGACAGCCCCTTATTGCCTGGCTCATCAACTATCACTTAGTGTCAATAACTCACTCGGAGACATTTGGTAAGAGAAAGAAAAAAAAAAGGTTCCATTTACTCAAAGTTCTGAACAGGTATTAAGAGGGCATCCTCTACAACAAATGTCTGGTCTCACAGGAAGATCCTTGCGTCCAGCGGACCCTTCTGCAGACGATATCCTCCATAACATACTCGCAGACTACCACATGATTGACTCTAAACTGTAGAGTAATGCTAACACCGACACTAGGCTGAAAAAAGAGAGGGAAATATTCTTAAGCAGAGAGGCATATGAGCTCTCTTCAAAATCAGAGGCAGAGAAGGAACAATTTATTATTGCTGGATTGATTGTCAGTCATTGCAGCCCAGAAAAGTCGTCCTGCCCTGGCAAAACCTCTTAAAGGCACCATATGAAGATTGCTAATATTCCAAAACATTCTTACTACAGAATGTGTGGGGCATAAAGACCTGTCTCACAGGCACTTCTAACATGCTCTAATTAATTAATTTCTTTTTGGGGGATTTTTCCTTGCTTGCTGTATAGGATACTTATTAAGTGGTTCAATAATTTTTGGAGAGAGTGTTGCTTAATCTGCTGTGATGAGCACATTTTGTGTAGATGAAAAGGATGGACTTAGATGCAGAGAAGTGTTATTTTCAGTTGATTACTTGTTTGTCTGGGTTGGCAAAGGTTGGAGGACACTTTTCTGGCTCCAGGGCCTCTCGAGGGCTGCACTAGACCCCCCCCCAAAAGTTGTTTTGAAAAATCACATCAGTTTTAGAGGAGAGGATGCCAAAGTTTCTGCTAAAATAAGATGTGGGGTGACACATTGTGTTCTAGAGGAGAGCGACTCTCATTTTTCATCCTAAAAGAGGGAAAAACACAGAACTATGGCATATAATTATTATATATGGGCAAATTTCCTGTTACTGTTTGCGTTAATCTTTGGGAAAGAATAGGAAATACATTTTAGCTATTTAAATAAGTAGAGGCTTATGTCTATTGTCACAAAAGAAACCCTCTTTTTATTCCAGGGCCTATGAACATGACCCATAGAAAAGAAACAAGAGTACTGTAAATGTTTACATTTATCTTTCGGAGTTGCAGGAAGAATGGTGGCTTTATTATCTACTTTTGCAGCAGTGGCCCAATAACAGTTGTTTATTACTGTTTTTGTTAAATTTTTCAGTTTGTACTACTCTCCTAGCCACATAGAGCATATATTCTGTACTATTGAGGCCCTGCACGTGTTGTTGGCTTGCATCTCCAATTATCCTTCTTCACTGGCTCTGTGCCTCAGATAGATGGAAATTGCATTACACCAACACTGTGTCTGGAGGAGAACCACATGGTTCCCACCCTTCTATTTTTGGTTCCCAGATTGTCTCTTCTGTCTTTAGAGTTGCCTGATTAACTTCAGATATAAATCTACATGGAGCCTCTTGATGCCCATCTACAAAGTTCTGGTTTAAATTACCAGTAGTTAAATCTGAACATTAAAGAGATAGATGGGTGAGAATTCTGTGATGAAAACTATCTACAGCCCAACAGACACCCAGCTTGGCAGTGGAGGCAGCAATATATTAATATTTCAATATTAAAATAGGACACCTTGTTTTAAAGGAGAGTTATGCTTAAAGAGGTCAAGGGGTACAATATAAAACAAGATATCCCATTTCTTTTGCATCTTGTTTTAATCTGGAATATTGTTTTATGTTGTTATTGCTATTTTACTGAATTTTGGTGCCACTAGGGTTGACAGAGGCTGTAAATAGAGGTGGGCAGCCAGCCCATGGCCCATGTGTTGCCCATCCCAGATTGATGTTAATGGCCACCATCTGGGAATTAGGAAAGTGAGTATAGTGCTTCCACATCCTTTGAATAAGCATCTCTTTCTGATTGCCACTGCAATTTCTATTTTTGTTGTTGTCCAGGGTCTCATTCCGGCAATCCTCTCTGAATTTAGAAAGTGAGCAAAGCTTGCCTGTTTTGAAGAAACCATCTTGGAATAAAAAGAAGTCTTTGGTAAGTCCCAGCAAGAAGATCGTAGCTTTTATCTGCCATCAAGTTGCCCCTGACTTGAAGACCCTATGAATGAGCCATCTCCAGAATAATCTGTCCTCAACTGCCCTGTTCAGCTTTTGTAAACTCAAGCTTGTGGCTTCCATCTCAAATTTGGTTTTCTTCTTTTCCTGCTGCCTTCCACCTTTCCCAGCATTATTGTCTTTTCCAGAGAATCCTGCCATCTCATGATGCACCCAAACAGGACAGTCTTAGTTTCAACATTTTTGCCTCCAGATATAATCCAGGCTGCATTTGATCTAGGACCCGCCTGTTCATCTTTCTGGCAGTCCAGGGTGTGAGCAAAGCCAATTTCCTAAGAAATTGCTCAGCCACGGGCAGAGAGGTTCCAAAGTAAATTGCTCCTTTACCAGGCAAAACAGGGTCCATAAATTTTGCCTTAGGGCAGCTAAAATTTACTCTGGCACCAAGTCTGACCGATTTCATTGAGAACCAAGCCACACACGTGAGTACCA